GATAACAATGCTATTGATTCACTTTGTTGATTTTTGCCCTTAATGTAACTTTCTGACAGGCAATGACTCTCTAAAAGCTCTGACATTCATCGTCCTGACAACATAACCTAATTATGTTGAAGGAGAGTTTTTGCATTGCCACCTTCTTCTCTGCGTTCTTTACCCTTGAAAGCATCAATCCTGCTCAGTCAAAGTCTGACGTGAAGCCAGATTTGGCATTTGTAGGGATTTCACATGTAACTGCAGGTGGTTACGGAGCGGGACTTGATTCTGCATAACAAAAGTTTTGACGTCATGCTTCATGCTGTATTTTTTAGTTTATTCAAAAAATAAGCAAAACAGAATTTGACTGTTTTGCTTATTTTTACATTTTTACAGAAATGTCTGTCTCGCAGCTGTGATAGACATCATCTTGTCTAATTGTTGGACCATTAAAAATAAAAATTTAAATGCATTCTAATGGACCGTTTGGAGCTGGAAATGGCTTTCTGTGTTAAAAGCCTCTCTCTCAACTGAGCATCCCATAAAGAGAGCAAACACAGTGAACACAGATTAGTGAGAGAGTGAATTAGAGTTTATGTATGTTTCACTGTATTAAAAAGCTATTTAACTGCTTTCAATCAGACTGATGTTAAGGGTTGCATTAAAGGTGTCCGGTTATACTCTGCGCTTAATTCAATTAATAAACATCCTCCATCCGATCTTAATTGAGTTTGCCTCCAGACCACAGCACAAGTGGCTGGGAAATGTAAAGCAAACAGAGCAGCATGGCAGCGCGGTTATGCTGGAGTGGATTAGTGGAAACTGGAAGAGAAGAGTCATTATGGGGTTGGAAATGTCCTTTAAGTCTCACCCACTCAGGGACAATTTTAGGTGGAGTACGTTCACACGGATTCAGCATCTTGGAAGAACAAAAATTATGATTTTTTTAAAAATGTTTTTCCAGAGTGGATACATTTCAGAATACTAGTTTCATGTTTCCGTGGCTCCATCTCACTCTCCATTGCGCATGTACCTCACTCTTACAAATAACAAAAATGTTATTTGTAAGAGTACATTGTCAGGTTTTAGATCTGACGATGTAAAACATCTGACGATGTAAAACCTTCCCAACTCCAAAAAAACACTGTCCACAGTGTTACAGCCTTCATCGACAAAGAAAAAAAAAGAGTAAATATCTGACAAGAAATTCTAAGATTTTCTAGAAGAAACAAGGGAATTTGAAAACATTCATATTTGGGCGAACAAATTTTGAAATTTTCAGATTAATTTCAAATTTTCTACAAAAATTTGGAAATTTTTAGTTTGAAAAGTAAAACGATTCTTAGGAAAAAAATAACTCACGTTTTGAGATTAATCTAAAAAATTTCCTAGAAAATACATCAAAATATCCAGGTTTCAAAAGTCGAAAATGTTCTTTTTGTTGTTGCTGATAGGTAACGCCAGTGTTGAGTTGCTTGGTGATGCTGCAACGCCCATAGAAGATGGGGAGGTTTTCAAACTGCTCATTTTCCAGTAACTAAAAAACATCAAGTTATTGCCAAAATATATGTTTTGGGTTTTTTTTACTTTTAAATTTTTTTAGAAGCAGCAGAGACCCAAATGGAAAAAGAAAAATGTGAAATTTGTATAAAAGGCCCCCTTAAAGGTCTAGAATGGGTAACTTCATAATAACCCTTGAAGCTGCTAGTCAAAGGTAACGTGATTTTCAGGAATACCCGTCAAGTTCCAGGAACGTCTCCGCTTGCACATTCATAGTTTGTTCTCATCTCAGTGTCTCCTGTTAAAGAAAACTAAACAGTTTGAAGCACCAGAGGGAAATCTTTAATGTGGAAACTCCTCAGGAGAAAAGTGAGGCTAAGCGGCTCTGACAGTAAACCGAGGCTGCGGCTGAAACATGTTGGCATGCCAGATGAGATAGATGGCGAGCCCACTGGTCCAGGGAGACGTCTTGTAAAAGTCATCTGTGATTCATGTGGAGAGAGTCGGTTCCCTGGAGGTCTCTGATTAGTACCCTGTTGTGAGCGCCACAGGACGCGCTGCTGAGCAACGTCTCCTACAAACGGCTGTGGACAGAAACGTCTGTGTGCTTCTCACCAAGCTCGCTACTTATTCATTTCAGCGTTTTTCTTTCTCCAAACTTATTGTTCTGTTTGTTGTGGTTTTCAGTTCATAAGGAGATTTTATAAGCAAAATCTATGTAACATGATTAGGGTAATTGAAAAAAAGAATTCATTTTCCTCAGAATTTTGGTTTTAATCTTTGGGGGAAAAAAATATTAACATTTTTACTGTTTCCTCTCAGAAATTTGACTTTTTTTTTTTTTTTTCTCTTAAAATTATTCTGACTTTATTCTTAGAATTCTAATTCCAATCTTATAATTTTAATACTCCAATTTTTATTTATTTATTTTTTAATGCTCTATCAGGCTAATATTGTCTTAAAACTCAAATTTACCAAATAAATTTGGGACAGGTTTTCAGTGTGGCTGCTGTAAATGTTTCCTTCTTTTTTTATTTATTTTTTATCTGTTGTTGATATTTGTTTTAACACTTAACACTTCTTTTTTTTGTTGTTGTTGCGCTATATATCTATATACATCAGTTACAAATAATGGACTCAAAATTAGTCAAATAATCTATAAAAGTTCCAAATAAAGAAGCAAAAAGGCCCCTGCAGAAGTCATAAAGAATGAAGAAGTATAGATCAAGACCAATTTTAAAGAATATAAAATAGTCTGGCTGCAGAAAAAAGCTCATAAGTTTCCAGATTAATTAAAATTTGTTTGGAACTGCTAAGTTAAGATTACCATTTTTCCAGTGTCACACTAAATACATTTTATCATAAATTATATTGCACATATGAAGTAGAAAGGATCATTTTAATGCATAACAATTTGAAAGTGAAAGAAATCAAACCCTGAATGGCCACAGTTCAGACCAGCCCCATTCACTTCCAAGCTGCTCTTGATAAGCCTGAAATTGTTAAGCTGCTGCGCATTTTCCCCGCTGATATAAACTTCCTTATTCTGTAATAATATGTTGCTCTTCTTAAAAGAGCTGAGGTAAAGGAAAACCCTGCGCATATTCACACCATCAGCAGCTGCCATAGTAGTGCTCGCAAATTACATTTCTAAGTCAGTGATCATTGCAGAGAGAGAAAAAAATAAATCGGATCCCGTTTAGGGGCTGCATGACTGTAATTTTTATTCTGTGAAGTATGTATTTTTCTCCGTAGAGCGTTTAGAGCTTGCCAAGGACTGTAAAAGGTAAAATTAAATCTACATAGCATTGTTTTTGTTTTGAAAATGTCAAACACACATTATTTTCTACTTGATTTAGCTTGAGCCTCAAAATAAACTTAAATCGAATTGATTTGAATGTGAAAATCAATGAATGTATTATGTTAAAAGCATAATAACCCCACGTTTTTCCTTTCTGTGTTTTAAAAATCAAACACAGATCAATTGGTGTGTGGACTTCCACGGTGTCGGTCGCATCACGGTCGCCATTGTGCTGAAAAAATTAAACTTTGCAACTAATTTTAAATCTCGTTCTCTTCCGTGCCTCATGTGAACTTTCCAAGCTGCATGCCATCTGTGGACGCATGTCAGCGTTGTCAGTGGGATTGTGGGTATGCGGCGTGACTAATACAGACGTGTATCAGAGAAGCAGCCAGTTTGATATTACAGTCCTCTTCAGGGACAAAACTGATCCTTAGCTAAAAAACATTCATTTAAAAAAAGCCATGTTCATGTTAATCTGTTATCTTCTATACTGATTAAAGGATGGGAATACATGGAAAAATAATGCTCATATTAAACAGGTTAATTTTCCACAATATGCATTTTTTATTTTAAAATGGAGGAAATTTATTTTGATTGGTTGTTGACTCATCTTCAGCACTTGAAACGGCATCAGTCAGTCTATCACTGATTGGGTGATATTCAAGACCCACAAATGTCAAGATAGCAATTAGTTAGCAATTAGTAATTAGACATTTTCCCCAGGATATATAAAATATTCTGACCTTTTTAACACCTGTTGAACTGAGGCGTCAGCTACACTTCTGTGGATATTTCTTTAAACAGATACTTTTCTGTTTTCTAATAAATATCTTTGTCTGAACAATCTGTTTTCTGCATAATTTTATAGTCACTCACTGTCATTTCATACCTTTCTATCAACATTTCCTACCTTCAGTATCAACCGTTTTCTTTTCAACCATGTTTAATGTTCAATTGCATGAAACAACTAACTTTTACATAAGCGTCTGCAGTCCAAACAGTTGTGTTGCATTTCATTCAACTTTTATGTCAGTAATGTGAGACATGCGTCATAATTCTCCACCAGAAGAACGTAGTAAATCCGGACATGAAGCAAGCAGTGCCGACATGTCGGATGCAGTCTTTGGCTTGGACTCCTGTAAACGGAGCGCGGTTGCATGACTTCTACACAGTAAATTTGGCAGTGTTAAAGCAACACCTATAGAGTTGAATTTAACACTGTTTCCGAGTCTATATGTTCCCTATCGGAATTGGTGTTAATGTTACTCTTTCAACAGTGTTACATTTTCAGAGTTAAATTTAACTCTAAATCGAGTAAAATTTACACTGGCTAACACTGTGCAGTGTTAATAAAACTTAACACTCCTAGTCAAATAACTCTGATAAGAGTAAATATGATTCTAATCAGAGTTAATGAGTTACTCCATAATGGTGAAAAAACTACTCTGGTTCTCATGTTATTTAACACTGCATCGAGTTATTGAGAGTTTTACACTGGAGGCTCATATAACTCCTATGAGTGTTAAACTGACACTCCACTGTGTAGATAACTTACTCTTTAGCTGTGAAAAAACAACTCTGCACAGATAAATATGAAGTGCTCTTTTTACACTTTTGTAGAGTGAAATGTACAACTGAATAAAAATCACATTACCACAGAAATGCATTTAACTTATTTATTGAATTAAAGCAGATTTTAATATCCACTGTTAACTTTTGTCACAGTAACATCACATGGTGTACATCCCATTGACGGCTCAAAGTTGACAGAGTACATTTAAGGCAAAGAGTTTTTCCATCCAAGTAGCCATGAACATGTATGTTGTGGCAAACACGTAATGTGCCTTAAACAGTTCATCAAAAGCACCAAGAGAGGATGTTGACCTGCAAGCAATGGCATTCTTGTCAAGGATGATGAAGAACTGGTGGAGATAGGGTTGTGTGCTCGTCGTGATGGCATCAAGATGTTCTTGGATGTTGGTTCCTATCTGTGGGGGGAAAAAAGAAAAGAACAATATAATTACAAAGCTGCAATGTTCCACAAAAAACAGATATATGGAAAAACAGCATTTAACTATGTGATATCACCGTAAAACTGAAATTCTCCCAGTGAAACAACCTCGAGTATAACATAAAATAAAATTTGCAACAAATACAAACCTTCTTGAAGACCACAAGACGCTTCTCTGCTTGGGAGGCAGACATCTTCCCTGGTCTCTTACGACCCAAGGCAGAGGGGGGAATCAGGTGTAGCAGCAGCAAAATCGATGAGAGGTCACTGTCCCAACCTGTGATAAGAAACATTTGATGTTGAATTGACCATCAAAACCTAGTGACTACACAATTTAAATTATGTGTACATCACTAAGTGAAGCTCACACAATATTTGAATTCTACATATTGTTGAAAGTCATCCTTACTCATGTCATCATCCACTTCAGTGCTATCCTCAGGAGTATCAGCTGCCAGGAGAAGTTCTTCAAGGTCACTGGTGGTTGGAAGCTCCCTGCATTGTTGGATGATCTTTCTCTTGAACGTGGTCGTCCATTTTTCCAGAAACTTGCCAGACACATCTTCTCCAAACATCAGGACAAAATCCTGCTCCACCTAGGATGTAGATAGTAAAGATTAAAACATTTCCCAGCCACTTTAACTGTATTCATTTTGACTTGTCACAAAAATACACTATTTTTACATGACTGTAAAATTATCAAAATAAATAATCACCAAGCCTTTGACATCTTTGAAACGTGGAAAGACAGAGAGTATGTTGCTTGACCGTTGGGGGTCAAGGACCATGTTGCGCCGGAAGTCAAATGTGAGCTTCATCTTCTTCTTGATTGTGTCCTCATCAGCTGAATGCTTAATCAGTGCGATGGCTTCCTTGCACTCTTCTTCACTCAGGACAGTCTCTGGAACAAACTTGGTGTCTCGTCTAGCAGCTGGTCCTCCAAGCCCTTGTTGACAAGATCCTTCTTCGGATGATGCTAGTAAATATAAGAAAATCTTTCAACTTACAAAAACAAGAATGAGCTTGGCTGAGATTCCTCAGGCGATTCCATCATGGAGACAAATTCTAACCATAAGAAAGCAGATGAAAGACAAAAAACAGTAATCACAATGAAATAGCAAGCTTATTAAATACTAAAATGAATTACAAATATAACAACCAGTTTCATATTTGATGGTTAGCAGAGGGATCCTTAACATCTTCATCCAACTCAGTCCCTGAACTGTCAACAACCTTCACGCCCTCTGTTACAGCTGGCACGCCAAATTTTGCAAATGCTAGAGAAAAAGACAAATGCTTGTCTAAACCACAATTATGAGGTTATGTTGCTCTAATACTCACATGTGCACATAAATTCTGGAACATTACTTTTGAATAAACAATGTCAAGTAACATTACAAGCGCCTCAGAGCTTCCTGTGTAAAGCTCCCAGTGTCTTACCTGCTGTCAAAAACTCCTTCAGATTCGGCTCCGTTAGTCGGACAAATTTTTGCAGCTCGCCAAGTCTTGTTTTAATCAACATGGTTTCTGCAGCACATAATTCCTCAGTCATTCATCTTTAGTACTGGAATGCTTTCAGTTTATGAAACGTGCCAACTGCTTCACAAACCAATACAGCTCACATTACATCGTTTTCATAGAAAATAATGATTATAGTTTACACAATAATGGCTTGGGCGCAAATTAATTTGACTTCTTTGCACTCTTATCCAAGTTAGACAATTAATAAATGCCATTTCCTTCAGTAACTAGAACAGTTAATTCAACTGCCTCGCTTCTTTTCGCCTTGTCTGTTAGCACTAGCAACGGTTAATGGCGGAGTCACGCAAGGTTTACAGTAGAGCTATGATGCTGGGCACGGAAAAAAAAATCACTCGCGCCAAATTCAGTGTCAACTATGAAACTGGACTATTAGCATCGCTTACGGTTAATTTATGTTGCATTGCAAAAAATAACTAAATAAATAATAAATGAAACAAATATCTATGCTATATGGCTTGGACGCGGATTTTAGGCGGACATTTTAAGCTAGGCATTCACTCGGTCAGGTTAGCCGTATAAAACTCAGTATTTAGATATCTAGCCCACTCATATACCGGGAAACAAATAAAATATTCTTATAAAACAATTCAAATTGTATTATTATCTTATAAAAAGAAACTTACCGCAGTCGTTCAAGCAGGAGAAAAATGGCGTCCACACAACGGTTAGACTTGTTGGTTTGAGAGGAGGAGGTGGGCGGAGCTTGTCAGAGTCAAATTGACACGACGTGAATACACTCTGGAAATTTACACCAACACTAGGTGGCATTATACTCAGTCTGTTGTTGTATTAGCTCTGAAAGAGTCAATCAATTTTAACACAGCATATTTAACACTGCGAAATTTACTGTGTAACTTGTAGGATACAGACGTCTAACTGTGGTTGCATTTAATTTGGGTGAACAGCCATCCAAGTAAAACTTTGGATTTCAAAAAGAAAAAAATCATTATTGAGCATCAAAACCTGCAGTGTGAACATGGCCTTTAAGTCAGCGGTTCACGCAGGATGATGATCATTTGCACCTGATCTGTTAGAAAAATGTCCCTAAAACATCTCATGTTAATGACAAAAACTGCTTGTTTTTCTTTTTCTTTTTTTTTTCTTTTTTTTTACTTATTAGGTCAACAAGACAGAGGACAAGTCTCTGGAGGAACGGGGACGGATCATGATTTCCCTCAAGTACAACACCCAGAAGTCTTGCCTGGTCGTTGGCATCATACGCTGCGCTCACCTTGCTGCTATGGACGCCAACGGCTTCTCCGACCCCTACGTCAAAACGTCAGTGTTCAGACACCTGCACATCCTCTCATACAGAAAATGGTTTTGTGGATCAAATTTCACAGTATTTAAAAATCTTCTGCAACTTCTCTAAATTAGATCTTAAAATGAGCTTTTAAATGCATCTATTCTGATGTTTTTGGGGCATATTCATACGCACTACAGTTAAAATTAGATTCCCTTTATTTCTTCTAAATGAATAAGCAGCACAGAATATCTTCACGTTTCACATCCTTATGAGTTGCCAAGTTGTTTGTTCCCTGTTCCAGTGCATTTTAACTTGCTAACATCGCCTGCCCTTTAATTTATATTGCTACAGATACATATTTTCATCGTGCTCTATCAGTACTATAAACTCCAAAAATTTGGAAAATGTCTGTTTTTCTTTTAATAAGGCAACAGTCCAAAGCCCTTTGAATGACATACAAATCACATAAAAATTGTTTATAGTTGAGCAGGTAAACCTAAAACCTAAAAAAAGAACAGGAAGAAAATCACGATAAATTAACTTTTACATTTTTAACTTAGTAAATTTTGTGGCCCACCAACAATTTAAATTTGTAAGTTTGGACACCACTGCTTTATGGCATACATTTGGTTCAATTTGAATTTTTTAGAAACAAAATTTAACTTCTAAAAATGACTTAAGAACATCTTTGTCAGAAAGATTTCTTGGCTTTTTAGAGGTTTCTTTTTTCATCAACAGCCAAAAATATAAATATTCAAGCAGAGTTGGTAGCCTAAAATAACTTTGGCACATGAGGATTGACTTCCTTTCCTATCCAAACACTGGAAAGCTATTTTTAGCCCATGCAAGACAATGTAGAAGTGTCAAAATGGATTATCTGGCAGAGCTGATGTTGTAGCAAAAAAGATGTCGACAACCTGTGATTATCAGCAGCATGAAAAGACAAGCGTACGAAGAGGCCAGGCGAGGGGCTGCAATTTGAAGGAGAGTCCTATTTATCGCACCTGAACATTTTTCCCCAAGTCTTTCATCTGGCTGAGCAATGGAAGTGTAATTAATTTCTGACTCTTCTGTGCACACCCCGAGAACAAAAGCAGGACTTGTTTCAGAGGAGAAAGGCTGGCAAAACATTTTTCAACAGTCTGAGGTGGAGGGAATCTTCATGAAGCTTGAAGGACGGAGTGCAGAATAACGAGGGATTAGGCCTGTTGCGATAACAGATTTTGCTGAGCGATTAATTGTCTCAAAAATTATTGCGATAAACGATAATATTGTTTGAAGACCTTTTTACACTGATTTAATGGAAATACGTAATAATACATGCGATTTTGCGGCAAAGATAGATACACTTTATTTTCAAAAGAACACTAAACACTGGAACTGATAAACAAAATAAACAAAGCAACCAAAAACAAAAATAAAATAGATTCTTAGTCTCCATTAACAAAAAATGTACTTGAATAAAAACTAAACAACATAAAGCCAAAGTGGAAATAAATACTGCATTCAACCAAAAGAGTGCAGATTATGAAGTCTGTATCCTATATTCCCCTTCAGTAATCATTAAATTTAAATAGAAAAGACGGGCATATCTGACTGCCTGATGCAATAGTTCACACAACACAATTTTTTGCCTCGAACAGGTAACAAATCAGAAAGCGCAGATTCTCCTCCTCGCTTTCCAAGGGGAAATTACGGAGGGGAATCCCAAACAACAGACACAGCGCAACCCAAAGTCCAGCGGACATCAGAGATGATATGTAGAAACAACATGAATGTTTATTCAAAATTTCGTGCAAAGAAAATATGAATAACAAGGGGAGGAGTTGGAGCTAAATTGCTACTGCAGTTGATAAACCCAGTACCTTTTCAGCTGTTCTTTGTTAAAATGACCTAAATAGGTTGTAATAAATTTTTGGAAACAATATAGAGCTATGGCTCAGGGAATGTATTCAATCTACCATGCATCAATTCATGTTTAGGATTATCTATTTATTTATTTCAGTTTACATTAGTAGAATAGGGCATCAAAACTGGCTCCAGCCCAGAGGCCCAGATTCTTGTCGATCCGTCTGTGGTTAAGATACACACAGGATAGCAAGATTTTTTAGAATCATAACTTCTGCTTGAATATTGTTTCGCCTGGGGAGGTCACTGGTCCCATTACATGACAACAATTAAACTCACTGCAGTGTCCTCATCAACAGCGGCCTCAGCTCCCGCTTCCCTCTGGAAGAAGTGGGTGAACAATAACCCACTTAGCCTCCCTTAAAGACTGTCTGGTATCTGGGGAAATAACTGGGAGTCTGGGTCCAGTGAGCAGAGATTTTACTGCTGCTGAAACTCTGTAAACCTGAAACAATATTAGCAGATATTCTTTATTAAAATGAATGATTACTGAACAGCATCCACCGGACAGATGTGTTCACAGACGCACCCGGGGCAACGGTGGTCACAAAGACTCTGTTTTCGGCTTTGACTCACCGACTGCCGTCAATGCAAACGGAAAGTGAGGAACGACAAACAAAGGCCAGCAACACCTCGATAATTACCAGAAATGTGAGACGGAACGGTATCTCTTCTTGGTCGTTACACACGACTGCTGCAGCTGCATGGAGACAAAAAATGAAAAAGATTAGAAAGTCAGTTTGTGTTTGTGCAGATGGTTCTGTAATTAGTTATCATGTTTATTTGTGCTGAGATTCCTCAGAATACTTTTCACAATTTCAGCATGTGAGGTTCATGATTGGTGAGCAGAGTCGGGTCGTAACTAGTTACATTCACCTGAGTAACTTTTTGGGAAAAAAATACTTTTAGGAGTTTATTGACTGCACAGTACATTTTAATTTTACTTGAGTAACTTCATCATGAAGTATTGCCACTCTTAATTAAGTAAAGTTTCTGGATCCTCTACCTGGTGTGAGTAACTTCACAGAATGAAGAATAAATAGTTTAATCAATAGTTTTCACCAAATGTAGGTTTTCACACACCTATAGGTTTTGTTAAGCTTTTATAAGTTTTACAGTATATTGAAAGAATTATATTGTATTAATCTTATTGTTCTCTGCTGTCTATTTTGGTTCTCTTAGTTTTTGCTCGAAATTAAGTTATTGGGGGGGAGAGAGAATGGGATTTACTGTTGCCTAAACAGTCGTCACCTACTTCAGAGTAAAAGCATAAAAATAAAAATATGTGAAACTAATGGAAGAATTCTTAACATTCTGTAACCTGAACTTTGACACAGATGTTGAACTTTATTCAACTGAAATTTCACTCAAAACACCCAACTAAGTTAACGCTTTAGAATTTATCTGGAAAAAGTCATTTAGGAGAAGCTACTAGACATTAAACAATATGTAATATCAGTGTAGACATATGCATATATTTGAGCCTGTTTGTATAATCCTACAATAAATTGAAGCTTTTCAACCAAATTCTAGCTTTTAAAAGCCAGTGCGGTTGAATGTAAAGGTCTTACGGTACATGAATAAAATATCCAACTGCAGTAAAGAAAAAAATAAACAAGTTTGACTTGGAATTTAAAATAATTGTACATCATATTATATGAGCAATATATGTTCATTGCTTATTGTGTGTTCTTTACAGTATTATTGTTGCATCCAGGTTTGAAATCATTTATTGCTGTCCTCAGTAAACCCATCACAAACACATAATAATAAACATTTACAGCTAAAACAGCTGTGTGTAAAATAAAATGTCCATTCTGACTGAGATAAATAGTGTCTAATACCAGCCAGAGGCTCTTAAAGTCAAGTAATTAGGTGGTTTAGTGTGAATAATGTACTGTAATGTGGCTGGGTCGGATCATTAAATGCAAGGTGTTACCGCAGCACCCCCCTGAGGGCAGAAGAGTAACTTTGTAAAATCAGGCTAGAGAAACAGATTAAACTTCTCTCTCCTCTGCAGGTACCTGAAGCCTGATGAGAACAAAAAGTCGAAGCACAAGACCGCTGTGAAGAAGAAGACCCTCAATCC